TCTCTAACTAGTAGCGCTAGTGGGTCAGAGCCTTCTGTTGTCATGAATATTTATGAATATTCTGTTGTCACAGGGACTTGACCGTACTCTTTAAAGAAATTGTATTTTATTCACTCCTCCCCCCAAATTTGCATTGCTAAGTTTTGGAGAAGTAATAGAATAATTTAATTTTACATGCTTTCATTTGAAAATTTTGATACCTTTTTATGTTGTTAGTTTTTGCAGCCTGTGGTGTTTTGCAGCATCACTTTGAATCCCGACTATGGAAGGTTTCGGAGCTCCCTATAAAGTCCTTCATCCGCTTCTTAGAGGCTAATGGCTCTTACACGCACGGATTGTGCATTGCGTGTGGGCGGGAGAGAGGTTTGGATGTGCCCTTCCAAGAAACAGCGATTTTAGGTGAGAGATAGGGGGTTTGACTTCTTCCTTCCCGCAGGGCCACAGCTGCGACAGTTGGCCTGTCGTGGGACCTGCGAAGTAGGGACAGCAGTCTGCCATGGTCGTCACGGGCTTGGCATGAGGCGCAGATGAAATTCATGGGGGAGCGAGTGCCTTAGAGACTTCCAGGGTGCTCCCCTGTGGGGTGAAGGAAGGTGTATATGAGATGAAATGTTGGGGTGAGTAGAAGAATCTTTGGAATATTTTGAGGGAAGTTGTGATAAGCTCAGGGGTAGAATTGTTATTAAAATTTAAATAGAATATTGGAAGTAATCATGAACAAAGTTCCTTGAGGAAAGGATAGAAAGTAGTGATAATGACAAGAAAATAATTTGTGTAGAGAGCTAGAAGTCGCAACACGCGTATCTGTTCAGTCTCATTTCGTCTTTATGAGGCCCTATGAAGAAGACAGGGCTGAAGTTTTAGCGAGAGAAAATGTGAGGCTCAGGAGGCAAGGACCCATAATTCCAATTCCCATGTTTTTTTCCCATAACTAGTTTTCCTTTCTCTTGGAAGACATTGCGAGTTGTCCTTTGCTATTAGCATTATGTTTTAAAGACAATAAATTGAAGTATTGAAAATCTTCCTATACACTTAACAAATACTTGATTATCCACAAACCTGAAGACACTTAGAAACCTATCACCAAGGAATTAGTGGAATACCCCTAATTCACCACTTTATTAGGACCACATTTTAAAAGGAGGTATTTTTATATCAAGGGGTTGAACAGGAAGTGGTGTTCTTGCTTATGATTCTAAAATTCTGTTATCACTGGAGAGGAAAAAACAAAAGCCTTAGAAATATACTCAAATCAGATATCCAGTTGAACACCTATCTTTGTGTGTCTTCTGTGGGCACTTGTATCTATAGACATGTGAGTATATGTAGAAAAGGAAAGAGAGGAAGAAGATATGTGTCAAAGAGTTAGCCTGGGTGGACAGTGGAATGACAGCGTTCAGTCCATCGCGGAAAGGCGGTCGTTTGTAAAAGGACTCTAATGACGGGTCTCACGTTTGGTGGGAGCTCCGTGTACACTGGTCCCATCAAGATCCCTGTAACGTTAGGAGACGTCCCTCCCTGCCTACCATACATGAAAGGGCGGTGCTGGGGAATCATATCGCCACTCTGCTACTTACCCCGAATGGCCTTACGCAACTTAACGCCCCTCCTCACACTTGTGTGGAAAAGGTGATCCTGGCAGATGCCTGTTCCACAGGACTGTTTGTACTCAGTGAGATTCAGCTCACGTTGTTTAGCACTGTGTTCCATGCTGAAGACTGAAATAGTCGGTACTTGTTCTTAAATTTTTCTTAGAAAAGTGAGCAAATGTGCTGTTCAAAGAATGCGAAATAAAAGTTATTCACACAGGGGCTAACAGGGGTGTCTGGCCCACGGGCCGCATGCAGCCCAGGATGGCTGTGAATGCGGCCAACACAAAATTGTAAATTTACTTACAACACTATGAAATTTTTTTGTGATCATGTGTCACAGTGTAGTGAATGTGCGGCCCAAGACAACTCTTCTTCCAGTGTGGTGCAGAGATGCCCAAAGGTTGGCCGCCGCGGGACAGGGTCTACTTACTAAAGGAGAAGAGAATAAAGTAGTTTAAACTGTGGGAATCTATTAACTGTAATGTTGGTCTGAAATTGCATTTTTAACAAAGAAATCTGTTCTGTATAGCTGGTGGAGGCGTTAATGAGATGAATGTAGAACATCCTCAGTTCTACCCCTGGGGGGACTTACAAAGTTTTCATTAATAACGTAAAATAACTTACGTTATTTTCATGATTAGATTCTGATACACTCAGAGAATTTTAGTCTTAGGACGGTGACCATCTCGTGATGCTCCTTTGTTTTACATCTGAAGAAACTGAGCCCTGGAAGAGTCACCAGAGGGAGTTCCCTGCTCTGCAGAGTTTGTGGCATCCGTGGTGTGTGACTCTGCAGCGGTGCTTATACTCAGACGCCTTCTGTGATTTGTTTGTGTATATATCTTTGTCAGGCACTTGTTTTTAATTGCCTGAGAGAAAGCTCTGGGCTCAATTTCCTTTCATTTAACAATGGAGAAAAGAAAGCTTTAAAATACCTTATTTTATTTGGGCCTTACCACCTACCATGAGGAGACTGTGCTGTGTGCTTGCTGATACTCTTTTTACAGCAAATAACCTACCCCACACTGTATCTCTGCTAAGTGGGGGGCTGGAGTACAGGCGCGTACCCTGACCTGAAAGCCACGGCTGCCAGTGAAGGTGTCTCCCTTTCGCCCCATGCCTGTACTCTGGCAAAGACAGATTCACAGAGTATGACTTTGGGTCTCTGCCTCAGAAACTATAATACTGTGTTATGGTCAAGTGAAAAGCCTGTAGGCCAGTTTCCCAGTACAGGTATCAAATCATGGATGTTCCAGAAAACAAAAAGTGAAAAATGAATGTGGAACAAAAACTGGAGAAGGCCTCAGGAGACTGGAGGTGGCTGAATCCTTGAGGAGGGGCAGGGAAGCAGGAGCGCGGTAGGGAGGGGCCCGGGACCACTCGCAGGCAGGCGGGGCGGCCACAGCCTCTCCTGCACTGGGCACCGGGCAACGTCAACGTCAGGCCGAGTGCTTTAGTCTGAAGCCACAGGTCAGAGTGTATGTGAAAAAAATTTTCTTTCTTGTTTGGTGAACATGGGTTTGCTGGGGGAGTACAAATGGCTATAGACTTGTAGCTCAGTGAAAGAGCAACTCCAGCGGAGCTTTCCTCTTTCCCTGAATCCTGATCACCACCAGGCAGAGACACCTAAGCAGGGGAGACCTGAGGACAACAGGCAGCACCAGGGTGTGTCTAGGGTGCAGGGCAGGCGGAGGTGGGCTGGCCGGCCCCTCAGCAGCATCCCTGTAGCAGTAACTTCGAGGTGGCTGAGCCCATGGTGGGTGTTCAGGGTGGTGCCCCCCCAGGCTGCGGTCAGCAAGAAGAGAGGGGATTGGGCTCAGTATTAGCTGTCAAGTTCCTGGGAGCAAGAATCCCCTCTGCCCAGGTCCATTGCCAGAAACACCATCCACATGCAGGTGATTCCCAAAGCACTCTGCAGCTGCAGGAAGATTTGCTTTCTTCACCCCATCTTTCCAGCAGGCCTTCACCACCCAGGACTTAGCATGTACTCTCTACCCTGTACTGAATTTGTCTCCCTATTTTTTGCTGATCTTTTCACTTCTGATATCTGAGTAGTTAGCCTAGATGTTAACGTTAAGAAGGCTTCCATCACACCTGCCGAAGTCCCGCTCCTTTGTATGAAAAGTGCCTTGTGCTTGCTGTATCACACATCGTGTTCTCATTGCTTGTTGTCTCCCCTACTAGGCAGCGTTCTTGGAGGAAAGGGACGCATCTTAGTATGTCACTTGCTATTTAATACGTACACACAAACATATTTGTTGCATGAGTTGAACAGTGGTTTGGTAACTTACTTTGGGGAGTTAGTTTTCAAACCCAGGTCTTTTGACTTGAGATACCTGTGTGTTTTGAGAGTGGGACTCAGTATCTGCCTAGAGTTAGGGAAAGAATTCTAGTAAGGTGGACCTTTTCTCATATCCACCTGTTGGAATCCAAGGCTTTTTTAACTGGTTTTTGTCAATACTCCCAGATTGTTCCTTAATAGAATCTAGAGAGAATGGCAGGCTATGTTTGTAATGTGGACTCTACATTGACAAATTCCTGTGTAGCTCAAAGTAATGGCTTACACATTAGAAATGTTGACAACTTACTATAATTAGGTATATTTCTGAGAACCAAAGGTAAATTCTGGAGGGTTTTTTTTTTCCTAATTTGCTTATATTAAAATATATACTATGTTTTCCCAGAAATTGGGAGTGACTGGGTTGTTCAGCTATTGAGTTCCCAGAGTAATTCCAAAATCATGGCTGAGCTGCATTACTTCGTTGACACCCAAACCAACTTTAATATAAATGAATGTCCTCAGTTAATCATTATTTTTCTCTCCTGTCAGCAGTTAGATTCTGGATTTTGTTCCATTTGAATAATTTTACTGGTTGGAGAAGCTGCTAAGAATTGTAGGACAATATCCCACTGAGCCCCAAACTGAGCAGAGTAAAAGTTGGCTGGTGCTTTCTTACTCAACTGGAAGGGTTTTACAATTTCGGGACGAGGGGCAGATTTCCCGCCCTCACTTATCCTGGGGGAAGACACTTCTCCTCAGCTGTCTGGGCATCATTAGGGGGTCCCGGCCGCAGCTCTGTCACAGAGAGCACATGGAGGCTTCACAGGACATTTGCCCAGAGGCCGTGATGACGGCAGCTACTGTCGGGGTGAACTGTCGATGACCAGGTAATTGGGGAACGGACCGGATGCAGGTTGATGGTAGTTGAAAAAGCAAGGATATGTTCTTTATCCTGTGGGTGGGGTTTTTATGGGGGAAGAAGGCAGAGCAGGAGTCTAGAGACCTGCTTCCAGACCCGGCCCTGTGTCCTGTCTGCGGTCTGCAGGCCGCGCCCCTGCAGCGCAGGGCCGCACGGGTGCCCCGGAGACACGGTCTTCTTCCTGCAACTTCTTTCCTGTTCCTCACAGGCAGATCCTAAAGAGCTCATCTTGATGGTCACCGGGCACGTGTCTCGATATGGACAGGACGCCTGGCCCGAGGAGGTGGCCGCACTGACCGGGCAGTTACGCTACTACAACGAGCGGCTCCTGGACCTTACTCAGGCGCAGGTGCTCCGGGGCCTGCGCAGGGGCGTGGACGTGCAGCGCTTTACGGCGGACGAGCAGTACAAGCGGCAGACGATCCTCGGCCTGGCGGAGTAAGGCTGCTTTTATCTCGGGAAGGGATGGGCTTCAACAGAACAGGGCGAGTTGAATTAGCAGAACTGCTGGCCGCAGCCCTCTGACGACCGACATTCATTGTTGCTCTAAACAAGGCTTCCTTTCTCCTGCTTCTGCTGACCACGTGAGGGATGCGTCTCCCCAGCTGGGTCAGTGGGTGCAGACAACATCTTGAGCCTGCAGATTTAAATAGTAAGGGTGGGAACTCTTTAAAAAATTTCCCATGACTTTGATAGCTCAACACCAAGATTATTACCATCTTAGAGGTGAGTAGGGTATTATCAGGGGTGAAAAGTGTGAAACTTATGACAGAAATTTAAATACAAGATTGCCTTTTACTCCTGGATGCAAGTCTCCCTTTTCAAGTTCATGGCAGTTTTATTTTCTTGATGGACGCAGCTGATTGAATACAAGAGGAAGGACGGACCCTGTGCTGTGGATTCAGGGCACCTTCGTCCTTCCTGGGTTTCTAGACAAAGCAGAACTGACCAGCCCGAGCAGTCTCTCCCCTTCCAGGCCGGCAGCAGCTGCCATTCCCCTTTTTCCCTTACTCCTTGCAAGAGAGGAGCGGGCCCTTCTGTGAGAAGGCGAGGCAGGGCAGGCTGAGGGCCAGCAGGCAGCGTGCCTTTTCTCGCCTGGCGTTCCCCCAGGTTTCGGTCCTGCTCTCCATTTTTCCTTTTACATCCAGTGAGCTCAGATCCAATGAGAATTACTGACGTGTCAGGAAGTGGGAAAGTGTGATCACCCACAATGGGTATTAAATTGAGGTGTTTTGCTTTTCACCCAGAGCGTGTGGAGTGCTTACCATGGGCCAGGAATGGGGTTAGGTGCTCTCTAAACGTCTGTTAATCCTCAAAGGTAAACATGTGATGTCAGGGTTGTTATCCCTGTTTCATGGCTGAAGAACATGAAGTTTGGGGGCTTGAAGTAACTGGACCACATTTAGGCGGTCTGGGTCCCAACTGCAACTTTAACCTTGCGCTCTCACCTATTGGAGCCGTGAGATGTTCGCCACACCCCCCACCTCCCCTGCCCCGGCCTGGCTGGGTTCTTAAGGAGGTGCTGGCATGCAGCCCACTCGAGGCTTTCAGCCTTTGAAGCTGAGGCTAAATTGTGCCTGCATTTAACAGTTATCCCTCTCCCCCGATGTTATTTTAAAGTAACAAGGATAGGCCTGGTATGGTCATGGTGTACATCATTTTTCATCATTATTATTTAAACCTTTGAGAAAGTAGCAGAGTAGCCCTGGTGCCCTGTAATAATTTTGCATTAACCTGGGCTTCTTCCCTACAACAAAACACTCCAAATTCTCTTTAGAGTAAGTCAGGGAATAGAGAGATCAAAGGAAGATCGCAGTAGCAACCTATAGCTGGACTCAATTAAGGGAAGAAATGTGGAGTATTCTTTTCCCCTCTGTCCTTCTGGAGGTTCATAATTTCATAGAATCATTTAATGTGCAGTTTCAGAGGGACCAAAGAGATAATTTAATCCAACCTCCTCTTTTTTTGAAAGAAGACTCTGAGAATCAGAGAGTTTTAAAGAGTAGTTCAAGGTCACACAGCCAGAAGTTGAATGTGGGCTTCTTAGTTCCAAGTCCAGTGAGCTTTTCCTGTGGGCGTTTTGCAGTCCCTGGTGCCATGCTCATGGTTTCTTAGAAAAGAGTTGTTTTACAGAATAAAAGTTTGTAAGATAAAGCATGCCCTATATCATCAAATACATTTTGTTAGAGTTTTTATCCTTTTTTTCCTTTTCCATGTATCTAGCTGGCATATGGTATTTGAAGTATGTCCTAGGGGACAAATACATGCTTTTGATAAATATATCTATAATAGAACCTTTCCATAATCTATTGCTTAGAAAAACGTGCAGCAGTCTTTGGATGCTTTGTTTAAATGTGTCAGCATCTGTAGGCTTTTTGAGTTGGCAGTTCTGGTTTGGATTTGGGATTTCAGTGTCCCACACGTGAGAACCTTTAAAGGACCTGCTTCCGCTTGTTCTGTGGCTCTGTCTGCAGTTGCACTCAGTATTACCATTCATTTTCTTATTAATTGCACCTCCATTTTAATGGTCGTTGTTTTCTGCAGGTGCAGTGTATCTGTCCTTTATGGTCTGCATATTTTAGAGAATTCCTTAGTCGTGAGTCCGGGGCGCCGAGAAGAGGTCATAATATAGTGTGGTTTCTCCCCACTTGATCAAATGAGAAAGGTATCAATACTTAATGAACACATACCTGGTGCCAGGCAGTGGGCCAGACTCCCGTGATGGGAAAAGGGATTTGCTAATGGTCCCTGTTCCCCAGGAATTCTCGTTCCATCACGTGGAGGTAGGTACTCAATCAGTGTTTTAAGAGAGAGTTTTTAATTGACAATGACCTAATAATCCATGCGCTGGCAGACTTAGTCCAGCCCTTGGCCTCGTTTTTATAGTCCATGCACAAAGGATGGATGGTTTCTACATTTTTTAAAGGTCTGTGGAAAAACAACAATAAAAAACAATAAAAAGAAGAATATCCTACAGAGTACTGTATGGCAGCAAAGGCTGAGAGACTTATTCTCCGGCCCTTCACAGAAACGTTTGCCAACCCTTGGCCAGTCAGACCTGTGAGTGTCGTGGTTTCCTGTCTCCACAGTGTTACTTAATCATAACATGTTCACTCCTGCCTGTGTGGCTTTGTCCGCTCTTCTTCCAACTGAAATCTCCGTCCTTACATCTCTCCTTCTGGGCTGAATGCATCTTGTACAGTAGTCTTTCCAAACTGGCCTTGATGTGGGTGCTCTGGATCCAAATTACTTATGTGCCCAGAGACTCTCAGATTCGGTGACAGGGGACACCATTTCCTGGTTTATACATTCCACTGGCCCTCCGTTGCCCATCAGATGACCCAAGGACCCTGTACATTCCTAATTGTGACACCTCGCCCCGCCCCTTCTTTCTCCTCTATAGGAGACCCACCTATCTCCCCTCCTTCTCTGCCTGGTTCATGCTTGTTCATTCTTCATTCTTCAGGTCAAATTGGTCACTCTATTGTCTCCATTCTCACAGTATTTTCTAGTCTTAGCATTTAATTAGTGGTCCACACTTCATGTCCTCCACTAGACCACGAGTTCCTCAAGAAAAACCTTGTTTGTTTTCATGTTCTAAGCAGCTAACAATACCTGGTACAGTGTGGAGAACATAAAAATTTGCTGAGTAACTAACTGTGCTTTCTCAAATACCTACCCCTAAGGCAGGAATGCATTTCCTTTGCGTTATTTTTTGACTGTAGGCTGTAGTGTCTACACCAGAAGTTTTCAGCCTCAGTGCATTTTAGTCTGGATGATTCTTTGTTGAGGGGGGGGGGCTGTTCTCTACCTTGTAGGATGGTTAGCAGTATCCCTGATCTCTGCCCACTGGATGCCAACAGCCTTCTCCTCCACTGTGACAATCAAAAATGTCTGCAGACAATTGTCAGATATCTCTGGAAGGACAAATCACCCTTGACTGAGAAACCACTGGTCTAGAAAGTTCCTTGGTCAGCTGCGATGCACCACGGTGAAAAAGCAGCATAAAAACTCTTAGAAGTCCTTTCCCTGAGTTATATGGAATGCTTTATTAAGGACTGGGCTGGCTGCACCACCCCAGCTGGAGAGCGGTCCTGGGGAGCATTTTCCGTGCTGATTAAGGTAATGTGTGTCTCTCCTCTCCTTCCCCTGTGGCTGATGGACCTCCCTGAAGAACACTTGAGGAAAACGTCTACAACATTGCTCTTTCTCTGGCGCAGCGTTATGGCGTCTCCCGGTGGGAAGTCTTTATGACCCATTTGGAGTTCTTGTTCAGCGACAGTGGGTAAGCACACAATTCCTGTGTAAGTTTATGTCCATGAATTTCTTTTCCGTCTATTCTGAAAGAGTCATGAAGTTATATATTGTAATTTTCCTTTTCCTTTTCAGCTACAATAGACCATTGTCGTCGTACATTCTTTCTTTATTCATCAGTGATACACAAATATTCTAATAATAGTCTGTTCATTTTTGTTTTTCAGTAATAATAGTCCTGAGTTAGATACTTGAACATTCATTCATTCATTCATTTGAAAGTTTTTATTGAGACTCTATTTTGTACTAGGAACTAGATGCTGGGGTTCCAGTACCGAGCAAAAGCAGGCGTCCCAGCTGTCTCGGAACTTGTAGTCTAATGTGAGGGACAGAGTGTAACAGAGCAATGACATCAGCAAATGGGAAATCAAAGCAGTGACAAATTGGGTAAGAGAGCCCAGTTTGGCACTGAGGATTTGGCATTGTTAGGGAAGGCTCTCCTGAGGAAATAACTCTTGAGCTGAAACCTAAATATTGAGTTGAAATTAACTGCACTACAAGGAGAGCAGAGAACCATTTTCTAGGGAGACAGAACAGCTCAGTGCAAAAGCTCTTTGACAGAAGGAAGGGCATGCGTGCGGCTCAGCACCCAGCAGGTGGGCAATGTGGCTGAGGCCCTGAGCATCGGGGAGCCCAGTGTGTGATGAGACCACGGACCAGCCTGGAGGCCAGACCCCGAGCGAGGCTTGGACTCTGCAGGCCTTCGCGGGAGCTGTGGCGTCTTCCCGGGAGTGATAGGATGCCATTTCAGGATTTTGGTAAAGAGAAACGAAGTAATATTATCTGATCCACATTTTGAGATCACTTTGGTTACTATATTGAGGGAAGATTTTAGGGAGGCCGGGGTAGAGATACCTCGGCCAGTTAAGGAGCCGTTATAGTAATAGACTGGGTGAAAGATGACCATAGCTCGGACAAAGGTTTTGAAAGTACAGGAGAAGTGAGAAAGGGTTTCAGAGAGATCTGGAAAGTGAAATAGGTAGTACTTAACAAATTGGTTAATAAACATCCACTAAATATGAAGGGAGGGATTAGGAATCATCTCCCAAGTTTTCACTGGGTCTTCCTGTTGGGTGGTGACGTCACTCAAGGGGACAGGGAATAATGCAGACAAGGTATTTGGAGGGGAGGGTGAGGAAAAGGTAATGGAATGGAGAAGTTCTACACCCTGAGATGCCCAAGAGCCAAGGTCAGGCAGGCGGTGGTTCTTAGGGATCCAAGTCCAAAGGAGCAGGTGGAGCTGTAAATACGGATTTGGTGCTGCGTGCACTCAGGTGATGGGTGAGCTTGGGGATGCAGACAGAATGGGAAGAGGAGAGGACATAAGACAGACGTTGGGGACCTTCCACAGTTTCTGGTGGAGTAAGAGCTGCCAGCAGTGCGTGCAGAAGGAGCAGAGAGAGGCTAGAGAGGGGACAGACTCTTCTGCTGGGGGAGCCCGCTGGAAGAAAGAGGCGAAAGAAGGGGAGGCAGATCAAATGGGGTCAGATCCCACGAAGCGGTCCAGAAGTGCTTCCAACCTTAGCATCTTTAATTTTTATTATCACTTTGAAATTTTAACATCTACAATTTAAGTATTTATGAAATTGCTACATGGGTGGTAGTGTTATCTATGATAAATATTGAAGTGAATTAATCAGTTTTGAGGCACAGTAATATGTTCAAATAAATGTTTCTTGTGATATGCATATTGGCATTTAAAAAATATCTTGGCATTTTTAAATAAAAGGGTGTCATATCTGTACAAACAGGATGCTTCACTGGTCTCTGAATATATTATAAATTATCAAGCAATTAAATAATATGCAAGACTGTTCAGGGCATATCATTATACCTGATAGTGGTGTGATTATGCAGACTCACAGCAATTTCGAGAGCAGGAAATCATTACCCCCTGTGTGATTACTTGTGAGCGACAAAACCCCAAATACCCATTTAGCCAGTGTGTTTGGTGCTCCCTGGTCTTTACTTAAAAGGCTGAAGTCTACCTTGCTATTCGATCAAACTTGCTAATGCTGGTATCAGAAATTAGCCTTGTTAGTACAGTAGAAATCACCCAATGTTTATTTGCTGAGTCAGTGTCAATGGGAAGTCAGTGGGTCAGAGTCACAAGGAAATTAATGTTGTTTACCTTAGGGTTTGGTTTACCGTTCCTTTAAAAGCGCCCCCCGCCGCCCTGGTGATTTTCCTATAATTTTACATCCCCCTTCTTCCTGGTCGGCTTTGGAAACAGTCCCTGCCTCAGCACATGGACAGGTGAGCCATGCGGGCAGCTTTGGGGGCAGCAGCGTCAGGCAGTAGAGTGTTGAATCTTCAACCCCAGAGAGCCAGAGACGTCCTCGCTGTGGCTCTGTGCCCCTGCACAAGGGAATTGGGGCCCCTCAAACTCTTTCCATAATTCTACGTTGGGTGTAGTAATAACAATTAGAATACTCCATAGGATAGTGTCAGACCTCGCGACGTGCTGACCTATGATTGGTGCTTCGTTCATGGCAGCTAACACGGGCATTGCACTGCTACGGAGAGTTCTCATGGACACCCAAACTTGAGGTCCTTTTCCGCCTTCTCCTCTCCCTCTCTCCCTCCTCTTAGTGGTTTCAGACTGCAGTGATAGCTCTCAGGGGCCTCGTGGCAGACACTGGCTCGCTCAGCCTCTCAGTTCTGCCGGGCGAGTCCAGCTCCCCACACCGCGGGCTGATCTTCCACCCCTGCCAGCTTAGCAGCCGCCTCTGTCTCTGGCCTGCTCTGGACACTTCGGTGGCTCTCAGAGACAGCATGAACTACGGCGCACTTGTGGCCGAGTGGTAGGGTGTGGGTTTTGGGGTCAGAGCACACTTCAGGATCCACATCTGCCCCTAAGACCTGCTGTGTGGCACTGAGCCTCCCTAACCCTCCTGAGCCACTACTGTTGCAGCTATCAGGACTGTGGTCCCCACCTGAGAGGCCGGGGAAGCTCAGAGGAGATCTCTGGAGAGAAGATGGCCTGGTGGCTCTGGAGGGCCACTGCAGTTGTTCCTGTTGTGGTTTTTGTCATTTCTGCTTGCTCCGTGTCTTTAGGTTTTGGACACAGGATCCTTTTGAAATGCCAGGGGATGCTTCTAGATGATGGAGTAGTACTCTATTTGTTCATCCATTAAATATTAGTATTAGTTTTATAGTATCCTCATGTTCCAAGCATAGGTTTAAGCGCTGAACAAGATAGATACATCTTTTCCCTCGTAGAGCTTATAATATTCTGACAGGGAGACCACACAGACAGACAGACAGACACACACACACACCCCCCCCCCACCCCCCCCCCCCCAATATACATTGCTGGTCATGGTAAATGCCGCATGGGAAATGCATGAGGAGCCGCTAGGGAAGGCCTCTCTTCAGAGGTGGAGAGAGCCCTCCGTTGGAGGTTAAAGGCATTCCAGGCAGAGCGAGCAGGCTCTGGGGCAGGGGCATTCTGGGCGTTTTTGGGTCAGGGAACGCAGGCGTGTGGCTTGGGACCGGCGGACAAAGGAGAGCTAACTAGGGGCCAGAACCACCCTGACCGACCGCCGTGGCACCTCTCTCCACCCTGTCTCTTCTGACTTAAACAGCAGGCCGGAAAGCCAAACACCCTGCACCCAGGTGATCTCCCACCTGACTTTGCCTGGGCGGCGGACATCACGATGCCGTCATCTTCTCTGACACGTAATTTATACCGTGTCCTTCAGACCCAGGGCAGGGCCCCGGTCCCAGGGCCTCCAGTGGTGCTGCTCTGTGCTGCTGTTCCTGCCCCTCGTATCCTCTGGAGGGTCTTTCGGTCCCAGGTACAAGGGGTGAGAGCGAGTCACAGCTGTGGGGAGGTGACTAAAATACAGTGCCTCTACCTTTTTCTGAATTAAACAGGATTTATTCCTGAGGGTTGCTTTGCTCATAATCAGGTTTGAGGCTTGATTGCCTGTGGTAAGGAATTTGAAATTCTAGCCTTCTCTTCCATATTCTCCCCTGTTAAAGAAACCTGGCTTCATCATGAAGCTAATGTGAGAATGATTAGTGAATGGAGAGAGGATTTAAGGTAGGGTAGCTCACTGAAAGTATGTCAGAATATTGAAAATGAAAATAAATAAAATTCAGGACCAGGAAAAATCCATATTAGAGTAGGAAGGTAGAATGTAGATACTCAGGTCACAGGTTGCACAGGGTTGTGAAAACATAGCTGTGTATTTGGTATTGATCTTTCTTTAGGCCAAAGGGTAAAAGAGAACCAAAATTATGATTTGTATTGTGCGAAAGACGAAATCTGCCAACCTCGAAAACGGAAGAACTAGTTACTGCCGTTACCAAAATGGAAGTGACTCCTCCCGCAGATCTGCAACCTCCCTTCGCCTGTCGTGGTCCTTCAGGCCCCTCCCCACTGAGCAGTCAGAAGCTCCAGGCCGGGGCACAAACGTAAGCCGCAGGGCGTGTTTCGGCCAGTTTCCATCAGTGGGATGTGCAGGCTTTGAATCCTGCAAGTCTGGGCTCAGGCCCTGGCTCTGTGATTTCCTTCTCATGTGTTCTAGGTAAACAAGTTGTTTTATCCCTCTGTGCACATTTCCTTCTCTGTATAAAGGCTCTTCTTATTCATTTTGCAGAACTGCTGTGAGATTTGAGATTTATACAAAATACCTGAATGTAGTAGGTGCTCAGAAAAATAAAAAGCTTCTATTGTTAATTCTGGAAACAGACCAGATTTACAGGTATCCTATGAGCACTATTAGCCTAATGTTGCACCCCTGATTTTGGAACCATTATTTTTCAAGTCAGGATATCAATTTCATCTGCTTTGTGAGCATTAAATGAGATGATATAGTACTTAGTGTGTAATAAATGCTCAGTAACTAATGCTATTACCATTTCTGTGCTATGGTGTCTCAAAGTATTTCTTGTTCAGGAGATAATAATATGAGACTATATAAACCAATCAGAATTGACATTTTATGGGAAATTAAAAGGCTTAAGGGTCAGGGTTGTCCTTACGGAAGAGGCGATGAAGCCGCTGTTCCCATAGCTGTCATGTCACCACTCTGTTCATAGAAAACCTGCTACAAAGGACGTCACTGAGTATTTGTGTGACAAGAAATAGCCTGAGACACTCATTAGTGACCCTCTCATCAACTATCTAGGTGACCTCGAAAAGCTAAATTCTATTTTTTGATTTACAAAGACATGTGGCCAAAACGTTGACAGAACTGAAAAACGCCATGATTATTTTGACCACGTTGCCTGCATAATCACACCGCCGGCGGTCAGGAGGCGTTGCAGATCGGGCACCCAGGTGACGTTCATTCCGGGCACGCGTGGGAAAGTGCTTCCCCTGGTGTCCACAGGTCAGTCCTGGAGCCCGAGAGGCAGCCTTGCCTCTTCCCACGGGACTCGGTGGTGGGGCCCTGCTCGCCCTGGATCCTGGTCGTTAATTTGGATTCATAGCTCTTCATACCTTTGGGACAATCTTGGGGGGAGATACCAAGAAGTTACCACATCTGAACCCGTGAACCCCTCTCCATCCCTCTGTCCTCTTCAGCCATTCCCTGCAACCCCCTCCCTCTCTCCTTCCCTCCTCCTTCCTCTGCTCTCCTAAGGATTTCTTTCCTCAGCTCATGGGATTGCATTGTTACTCAGTCTCAGACTGGGTAAAGAAATATGCATTGAAATAAATTTGTTTTTCTATACAAATATAAGACCTTTCAGTACATGCTGTTCTTGAATTTTGGGGGATTGGCAACTTCAGGCCATTACGGAACACGCTGATCATGGACTTTGTACTATGATTTATTCCTTGTGCTTTGAGTACAACTGCTGCTAATTTCTTCCTTAGTTAATCTCTGCAAGTTAAAAATGCATTGTATAAATATACACACTGCTTTGTAGCTAGCTACATCTTGGTTCAAGAAAACACACAAACTTGTTTCTAAGGGTGATTATTAATTTGATTAGTGAAAAGTCCACAATGGTTTCATGCTATTTCTTCCTTCTTTCTTGAATGTGTGTTCTTTGAAATTGTTTTCTAAGCAGAGATTTCATTTCTTTTTCCAAAGAGAAGATAACAGCTTCTTTCAATGAAACTATTAAAATGGGTTATTGATTACTGGCATCTATAAAGGATCTTAGTATATTGCAGTTTACCGAAGAGGGAGGTTTTGGTATTTATCTTGTGTCTGTAAAGGTATTCCAGTATCTCTCTTGACAAGATAATTAGGTAAAATTGCACATTGGCGAACCGAATTGTAGGCGCAGAAGAATAAGTGGGTTGCATGAGAGAGAAAGTAAAGTTGATTGAGAGAGACTATTCAGAATCAAGGCAAACACAGATGAAATAAAACTGTTACGGTTCAGTCACTGCCTGGCCACTCTGTAGAGGAGCCTGTCTTGAATGCTCGGTTTCTCAGGTTGTTAGGAATGAGGTTTGACGGGAGAGCTCTTTTGGATGGTTGCTCCAGGGCAGAGAACTAGTGCCCGTGTTACAGAAAGAATCCCGTGTTTGAAGGGATTTCTCTTGTGGGCACGTGACCTCATCAGTCAATGGTTCCTTCACGACAAGGTGGACAAAGCCACACCGAGTCCAGTCAGACCTGGATGCTTGGTCTTAGACAAGTCCCCGAACCTCTCTGACCTCCCATCTGTTAGTTGGTAATGACCTAGATTTAACTAGTCTACCATAGTAACCCGCACAAACTGCACCCCCCACCCCCTCCATTGGGCACATTGTTCTGCCTACAGAGCTTTGTCAAAATGATTCATCTCAGTGGGGCCACATGGTTTATTATTTATTTCTTTGCTATATTGTATTCAGACTTCAATTTGGAAATTATGAAGGGGAGTCAGAAATTCTGAGTCACTTTCATACACCACTGTGCATACAGTATCTTTCACAGATAGCATTGCATATTTTGAATAGTGATAGGATCAAGAATATTTTCTGAACAGCCATCCAATACACTCACGTTTCTTGCACAGGCCTTGTGCTTTCTTGTCTTACTGCTTTGTTCATATTATTTTTGCTTCATTCCTTTCTGCAGTGCCCAGCTCAAGTACTTCTTTCATGAACTCTTCTGTTATTGATTCCTACTGTCTTCGAAGTAAAAGCTTTAGAGATCCTACTCCTGATTGGAATATAATTGTGTGCTATTTGTCAGCCCATGCCGTTATTTTACATTGTTGTTTAATTCTGAGAACTTATAACTCTACTAGATTTTCAAACCTCTGAGGGAGAGCTTGATGTTACAGATCGTCATACCCTCCCAGCATCGACTGCCGTGGTTCCATAGAGGACGCTACAGTTTTGTTCATCCACTCGTCACTTTGGCACACCTCACACACATGTGCTTAATGTGTCCCTTGTCCAACACAGTGGTGCTTGGTGCTGAGAATCTACAGGTAGAAAAGATGTGATACCATCTTTGCCATCAAGTGTCACACAGCTTAGTGAGGGTATACAGTCTAGATAAGGGTATACAGTATAGTGAGGACATACAGTATAGTGAGGGTATACAGTCTAGACAAGGTAATATGTAGTTAAAGCATGCTGTGACTGCCAGAGCAGAAGGGTACTCAGAGGAGACAGGGAAATTTTTATAGACCAGGTACATTTTTATAGATCAGTATATTTTTATAACTGTTCGATTATGTCTTAATAGAAAAATAGCATTTCCCTTGAAGTGAAAGTTCAAAGAGCATTTTTAAATCACTTGATATTTTGACTTTATAGGTTGACGCTGTTATCCTAAGTACTACCTCTCGTAACAATTTTAAAACATGATTTATTTTAACTTTATCTACATAAACCAAAAACATGTCTTGGCACTTTCTAACAGTGGAAATTCCAGTAAATGGGGTGTCATCTCTCGAAGGATTGCTTTGAAACTATGTGAAATCTCACTTGTGCTGCCAGGGGACTCATTCACTCACTCAGTTACATCCGAGGCTGCTGTCGAGAGCCCATTTCTGCTGGTGCGGAGGCCTGCCTGACCCGCCCTGCCCCGGGCAGCGGAAGCACGCTGGGCTGCGGCTCTGTGTTCTGTTCAGGGCGGCACAAGACCAGAATTAAGCCCTCCCCTTCACCCCGCAAAATACAACTGATCTACCAAAGTAACATTTTTATTGTATTATAAAGACATCCAAGTCAAGGTGAAAATAATAAGATACGTGTTTTTATTTAAGTGGCATTCATGACTACAGGTAATTCAGGTCAAAGTGCATGTACGTATTCTTGCTGATTTTAATGTTATTTGAACTTCGTATCAATTTTGGGTCTATCCAGTATCTGTTCAATGTTCTTGGATGCCATAGTTATGCCCAAAGGTTGGGGTTGTTTCTTCCCCTCACAGATTCCTTAATTCCTGAAATAATAAGATTGTTTACGTTTCTATAATGAAGCTCCTATTTTAATTATTCTTGTGACATGAATAAATAATGCATAGTGGAAGCCAACAGATCTGGGTCCATTTCCTAACTAGAAACCATTGGGCAGCTGCCCACCTGCGGGAATGAGAAGCCGCCAGGGAGGCTGCAGACCGGCAGGAAATCACACCCAAATGGCTCACTATGTCATAGGCATTGAACACGTTTGCTTTCCTTTATATAAACTACCTGCTTCTCGGTGGTTTGCTGTCTTTGATTAGACAGAAGGAAGGGACCTATACGAAGTAGCCTTTCCTCCTGGATTAAAAAAAAAATTGTGTTTAATAAAGGAACCAAACTTTAACACATTGTTTTTTGTCTCCTGATTTCAGTTTGTCCACAGCAGAAATTGAAAATCGAGCCCAAGCCCTTCATCTCTTTGAGACTTTGAAGACCGATCCTGAAGGCTTCCACAAGCACATGGTCAAGTACATTTACCCCACTATCGGCGGCTTTGATCATGAAAGGCTGCTGTATTACTTCACTCTTCTGGAAAGCTGTGGCTGTGCAGATTTGGGGAAATATGCCATTAAACCGGAAACCCACGTTCGGCTGCTAAAGAAATTTAAGGTAGTTGCATCAGGTAAGATGATCATTCCCCTGCTTGATGTCATCTTTAAAGTTAAATCTAGGGATTATATTTTTTGTACACAATCATTTTCATGTACCATGGCTGACATAGGTCTGAAACTACAGGATTTTGATGCTAATTGTCTTTAGTTGTTGTCCACACCTTCACTTACGGTGGAATTACATACCAGGGAACCTAAGAAACCTACTGAAACTCACACAGTGGCTTGCAGTACACCAGGCACTAAAATCAGATGTTTTGGACTGCAGAGGTTTATTTTCCTTCTTCTCCCATTGGTTATATTTTATTTATATAAATGTCAAGACCGAGATAACTTACAACAGGCAGTTGGGCAGAATTATGCTTCGGTGGAGCTATATGTTTAAAGCGTGTGTGGGCCCCATTAAAGTGAGAGCCTTTGCATCTTTGATAAATTGTGGAAATCATTAGAGTGGTGTCTATGTATCTTTATGCTCATAACAAAGAAATTAAACACATTAATACTCCTCAAATCTCTGTGGTACTTTATAATTTACAAGGCATTTTCAAATCTATGTTTATTTAGTATTCATAACAATTATGAGAATTTACTTCAGTTTGTCAGTGGTTTGCCGAGTGACCAGATTAGACCCTGGAACTGACACAGAAGACAGGGCTTCTGATTCATCTCCGCCTTCTGGTAGCTGGTAGCCAGATGCATGACCCATGACTATAATGCAGTTTGGTGAGGGCACTGATACAGGACAGCCCAGGGGCCACTGGGGGACTGAAGAAGTGAGGACAGAGCGCCCTCTCCAGTGTACACGGGAGGAGGCTGAGGCTCACAGAGCGTGTAACTTGGCCAGGATTGCAGAGTTGGTTACATTGCAGGCTGGGACTAGAACTCAGATCTTCTGATCTAAGGGGCAACTAAACGATTGGCTGTAACTAAATGGGCTGACAAAATCTTTGCATTTGGCCATGCAGAGGGCTCTGTGTGTGTTTGAAGCCTCTGCATGTTTGTGCTGGAGAGAACTCCTCTCTTTCTCCTCTTTCCATTAGGTCTCAATTATAAAAGACTGACAGAGGAAAACATGAACCCACTGGAAGCACTGGAGCCAGTTCTTTCAAGTCAGAATATCTTATCTGTTTCCAAGCTGGCTCCCAAAATCCCTGACCAGGATGGACGGATGCTTTCCCCCAGCTCCCTGTACACCGTCTGGCTGCAGAAGTTGTTCTGGGCTGGAGACCCTCACCTCATCAAACAAGTCCCGGAGTCCACACCCGAGTGGCTCCATGCCTTTGACGTCTGCGTGAAGTACTTCGATCGCCTCCACCCTGGAGACCTCATCACTGTCGTGGATGCAGTTACATTTTCTTCCAAAGCCGTGACCAAGGTAACTAGAACGACAGTCTAAAGTATCGATAGAGTCAATGTTTTAGAAGAAATGAAAGTTGTTCTTACATTCTGTAGATTGTGTTTTTATTTCCTTTCTTAAAACTGGAACTGTTAACATGGTGCTGTTTTAGTTCTTTGCTAAGCATGAGGTGTGTTAATTGGGAAATCACTTTCCTCTGTCACAGATGTGCAAGTAGGCTAAATCAGATTTGACTGTTCTAATTTATATGTGCATTTTATATATGTGTTCTTATAACATGTCATTTTATAGTAAAGCCTTCATCCTGTTCTTTCCAGTTGACAAGTGGAAGGAACATCTAGTGCCCAGCCCACATTACATGCGTTCAGCCAGTCTAACAACTTAGCTGTGGTTAAAGTGAGCCCTTAAGAAATTTCGCCTGAATATCATGTAGTATACGAGGTCTGTCCAGAAAAAGTCTAGCCATTGCTAATGTAATGAGAACAGTTTGCACGACATTGATGTAGCCTGGCCAGCAAGGAGAGTGGACTGGAATGTGCATGCATGAACAGTGGTGACTTCATTGTACTAGTGGGGGTGGCAGATGCCATTGAATGAGCCTGAGTACTGTGTGGACCTTGCATTCAAAATGACTGAGGGAGTAGAGCAACGAATCTGCATCAAATTTTGTGTTAAGCTTGAACGTTCTTCCCTGGAAAATATTCAGATGATTCAGAAACTTTCACGGATGATGCAATGAGTGCAACGCAAATAAAAGTGTGACACAAATACTTCAAAGATGGTCGAGAATCTGTTGAAAGTGATCCACGTTCTGGAAGGCCTGCAACAAGCAGAACACTTGAAAATGTTGAACATGTATGGGCTGCAATCAACAAAGATCAATGACGGACAGTAAGAGAACCAGAAGCTGATCTGGGGATTTAAAACACTGTTGTGTCCAAGATTTTGATGCAAGATCTTGACATGAAATGTGTCCTGGCAGAATTCACTCCATAAGGAGCAGAAGGAACATCATGCCGCAGTTGGCTAATGACGATTCAAACCGCTACCAATGAACCAGATTTCCTCCGGAAGGGCATAACTTTGAAGGGGACTGAACTGTCATTGTCCTATGGTACAATGTTTCTTGTAACCTATATTTTCTTCAATAAGTGCCTCTATTTTTCTTAGTATATAGCTAGATACTTTCTGGACAGACTGTGTATGTCATGATAGAATTATCTGTGGGCTTCTGCGTTGCATTTTCTAATGCCTACGCTGTGCTCAGGATGGAGCCCTTTACCTGGGCTCTAATTCTTGCTCTAGGTCCTTCAACAATGTACAGTTTTACTCTGGGTAGACAGTGTGAGTCCTCGTCTCCCCCCCTCCCTTGCCCTCTTACCCCATTAAACAGATGTAAACTTCTCACTGACATTAACTCTCCCAGAAAGTTTCCCACCCTCTGGTTTCAGCTGCTGAGCTGTACTGTCTTTGGAGCCTCCTTTTTGTCTTCTCTGGCCCCTCTTTGCTGCTTGCTCTCTTATTCCCCCAAGTTGGCAAGTCTGCTTAGTACCCTGTCCCAAGAATTTTGTTATGGCTACTACTCTCCTGGAAGTTGAGTATAAAGGCTAGGAATTCAAGTCATTGGCTTGGAAGGTGGCACAGGTAGGGGTTCAGACATCTCTGGGGAATGCTCATTTTAACTAACCTGCTGGATTCATGATTGTGGGTAACTGCTTACTTCATTTCCTTATTAGTGTACATCAGATAATTTAGTTAATAACTTGGTTTTATATTTTACAACCACTGCTATAAAAAAGAGATAATCATTTTGTGTGTTTTTTTTTTAAAGAAGAAAATAAGGATGACTTTAAAGGGAAGTAGCATGATATATTTGAAAAGAGCCCAAACTTGGCGTCCTCTAAGCCTGACTTTGAACCTGCTGTTCACCAGCTCTGTGGCTTAGCCTCAGGAATTTCTGTTGGACTGCTACCTTCTTGAGGCAGAGACTGTGGCTGAGTAATATGTGAACTGGATGATATTATTACTTTGGTTTTAGTAGGTGAGTTCAACAAAGCTACTTTGCTAAAAAAGGAGCCACAATTGAACTCAAGGAGCCTTATTCCAAATAGGGCCTTTGCTCTTACTCACTGAACTGTGCTTTACCTGAGAAGCCATAGAACAAACAGACAGCATCAAGGAGCCCGGAGGCGTTCTAGGATCTGTGGGAGAGCAGGGGGACCAGAGAGCCAGGGGGTTTCCAGTCCAAATGGATCAGTCTGTCCTCAGGTGTGTCCAGGGCAGGGCTGAGTCTAAAAGGGAAGGTCAGGCAGGATTCTGGCCATGCGTGGGAAAAGACAGGATTCAAACAAACATTGGTTTGAATCTCCAAGACTGAGAAGAGGTTCAAAGTCCAAGAGAGTGTTAGCAGTGCAGGATGTATGTGTTGGAGGGAAGAGCTGAACCAAATGGGGAGTTGGAATCCCAGGAGGTGGCTCCAGAGCTGGGACTTGTGAACTGGCTGGAGTGAGACCAACACACCAGCCAGGAAGATGGAGGGGCCTTCACTCCCCTCAGGCCCAAGGAGGTTTTAGCTATATGTGGGCAAGAACAAAGCCTAGCATGACCAACCAAGGCCATAGTTGATTGTGGACATGTGTATGGAGGTGGTCAGATGGCTCTGGACTTTCCAACAGCAATTGTGTGCTCACGATTAAACTTAGGAATTGGATGTAGAGTCCACTTGGAGGTTTAGTTATTTATGATGTTTTATGTTTCTAGCACATTCTCATCACCTTAGTTTCTTAATCATACACCTTTAAGATGCCCTCCAGCCATAGGAGGATGCATTACACAGTTGTTTGTGCACCTCTGTGCCCAGGTCCTGCGGGGAAGGTGCAGCACCGGCCCTGCAAGGACTGAGGCGGTTAACGATGGCACTGCCTTCCCCTGGTTCACGTGGTGTTGGCCTCAGCAGGGTTGTCTTCGCGGCACCAGGGGTGTCCAGCCTGCGGCCCGCGGGCTGCATGTGGTCCAGGATGTCTGTGAATGTGGCGCAATGCAAAATTGTAAATTTACTTAAAACATTATGAGGTTTTTTTTGTGATGATGTGTCACCGTGTATTTAATGTGTGGCCCAAGACCACTTTCCTTCCTCCAGTGTGGCCCCGAGGCGCCCAAAGGTCGGCTGCCCCGTCTCAGGAGGCAGTTCCTGCTGTATCCGGTTAAGCTGTAGAAAAGCGAGACAGGTGCATTTGAAACTGATTTTGTATTTTTGGTTTAGTTTTTTATTTTTTCCTCATTTTGTTAGTTGGCAGGCTTTTGATTTTTTCATTCAGAGAGGAAGAGTATGAAGTTTAGATACAGTGCATGTTAGAAATCACACAGTGCTCTTTTACGGGGAAGGGGGGGAGAAAATTCGGATTGCAGAACAACCCACGCATGTCGGAGGACACATTTGGACAAGGAAGTGCAGCTGGATTTTGCCAACTTTGCAAATCACCAGATGTTCCCACAGCTTGTGCATGATGTTAAAAATGTAAAATAAGTGTATATACTACTCATACATGGTATACAGTTTTCAAATGTATACCCACGTTGGATTCATAACCAAACTGTAAAGAACTGGTGAACGGATTCTGGGATGAATGTTTAAAGTACATTTGCTCTAATTCTAAATTATTTCTTTTGATTCAGTCCAGTTCTTTTGGTTCAGTTGCTTTCCTATTGCTTTTTCAGTTCACTAATTAGTAACTTTTTTTGTAGAAGAGACAGAGAAGTTAGTGGGTTGGAAATGCAGGAAAATGGTCAAAGAAGCTGAAGTGCCACTCAGACGCTATTTGTGTGGTTCCGAGCTGGTGTGGTTATGAGCTTACTGTAATCTCAGCCTTCTCACTCACCTTCTGTGGCTGGCGTGGCACCACGCACAAGCAAGGATGGGAAAAGGACTCCTCCCGCTTATTAAATGCCACCCAGAAGTTTGCTGGGATCCTTCTTTGAAAACCCCAGGTAGTCACAGAATTAGAAGAGGCCACCTGGTTTCCTCTCTGGTGCTTCTCCTCCTGGATTGGGTAGGCATTTGCTGCCCTCACCCCCTATCGCCCGCCCTGCGCCCTCTGTTTCAGCTCCTCCTGTTTCTGATAGGAATACCCTGTCTCCTCTGGATTAGAGCAGAAAAATGCCTGAGAATCTTGTATCTAGTTTGACCTCTGACCTTCAAGCATCATTTTTATTGGCAATTAATCTACTACACGATATATATATATATATATATATATATGAAAGTTTTATATAGGTATTCTTTGAGTAGTTGTTTAAATAAGTAATTATTAGCACAGATTGGTGATTCTTAAGCCTTTTGCTCTCTGGATGCCTTAACATTCTTAAAAATTACTGAGGACCCTAAAGGACTTTTATTTATTAAGTTTATATGCATTGATATTTGTCATATTAGAAATTAAAACCAATAAATTTTAGCAAAGTTTAAAACTACCAGTAATAGACCCATTATACAATAGGTTAGCATAAATAGTATATTTTAATGGAAAAATAACTATACTTCCAAAAGAAAAAAAATTAATGAGATGTAAACATCATTTTACTTTTATATGTATGGCTTAATGGAACATGTCTGTGCTGTTTTGTTTGAAGTAAATGAAGAAAATCCAGCCTTCCACAGATATGAGGTTGGAAAAGGGGGGGAGGGCTTTAATAGACTGTAATTTTGGGCATTGACTGAATCTCAACAAGTGATAGATACTTAAAGACCAGTAATGTAGAGTCTGAAGTCACATCATTGAACTTTCTGTGCTCTTTACACCAAAACCGTTCATCTAGATCAGCGATCTTCACCCTTTTCCATCTCCTGGCACACGTAAACTGATTACGAAAATTCTGCAGCACACCAAAAAATACATTTTTTGCCAGTCTGACCAAAAAAAGGTATAATTTTTATTCTTATTGGATGGCTGTTGTTATGTTGACTGGTGTCACTTTTTTTTTTTTAATTTGATAATCTAAGGAAAGAGGAGTCAGTGTGC